AGTGCTTGTTTATAGTCTATAGCTCGACTTTTGCACAAGTGTATTATGACACTTTGAATATGGCTTTGAAGGTCTTGCTTAGCTTGCTTAATTTGACTTTGTTTCATATTGCAACTTTCTTCCAAATTTTAATCTTGCCCTTCTCCAAGTAGTATGACTTCCTCTCATCATCCGTTTTGAACTCAACAATGCACACATCAATCTCCTCGTAAGGTTTAATCACAAACTCCATTTTTGAGCAAACGAGAATGTCGATGGATTGCCTGCTAATTTCCTCTTCTTTGAATGCTATGGATTTTTTTTTTTGCCCGTTATAATTATTATTTTTGATCTTCTCATGCTCTTCTTCTTTAATTGAAACTTTCTCGAATTCAACGTTTGTATCCGAAACTTTTGGCAAAGAAACAATGACATCTTCGCGGGAAAGTCTCCTCCTCTTGTTGTATTTGTTGGAAGTCTGATGGATTTGATTCCCTTAATTGATATTCATTAATAATCGGTGGAAGAAATAATCTCATAGGCAAATCACTCACATCAAATTGGGTGAGAGAAATAATGCAACGGGTAATCCACACAGGACAGTTTCATCAAGTTCACATTCTGCTTTTATATCTCGTAGTCATTGTCCTATAACAAAATCTCCCACAAGCATATCTCCCTCATCAATTTCTTGAGCTGGCAATTCTTGTTGCCTTATGATATAGTTACATACAAGCATTTTGTTGAAATCAAACCACAGTCATTTTTTATCCTGCTATTTTTGTTCTCTTATATATCTTGAAAAAGATAAAGAAAATAAAATAAGATGGAACAAAAATAATAATACAAGAATACAGGTAGAAGTCCGAATTAGTGTCAAGGTAAATAAAAGGAAATAAACAAATCAAATAACATTAAAAATAAAATAAATTAAGACTAAAAGTAAATAGTCCCCGACAATAGCAAAACTTGTTGCGTTTTTTATATCGCAAGTGTACGATATCGTAACAAGTAATGTTAGGGCTGGACAAAATTCTCGAACCGAACCGAATCGAGCGGTTCTTCATAAGTTAAATACCCGAAAGAGTATCTGAATCCAAGACTGATGGGTTTGGGTCGGTTCTCAGTTCTGGACCAAAAATCAAAGAACCGAATAAGAATTGAATCTAAATAATTTTTTTGATTTTTTTATATTGAATTAATTAAATTTTTTTAATTTTTTTAAACAAATTAGTAAATCTTATTAGTTGAACATTTTTAGTTTATTTGTGTTTATTAATTGTGCTTTTTCAATTATATCTGTAGAGTTTCTTATTATAACAAATCAAGTAATTTATGATTAAATCAAATAGTTCGTAAGTATTACCAATACTTAAAAATATGTTATTTTTATAACTTTTAATTTATATTTCATTTTCTTTATGCAAGCTGCTTGAAGTAAATGAATTATTGATATAGATCATCGATGTTTTAATATTAGTATCTACTTTTTGTTTTTTGTATACATTGAATTAATCTTATTGGACAGCTTGTTATTTATA